CAGACAGCAAGGGACCAATGAACAGCTCCCAAAAGAGGAGAATGTCCACACCCTTATCTCAGCGGTTCTACCAGGCGTCTGTGGCCTCTCCGATCTTTCCCCCACGTGGTCTCACCCAAGATGGAGGCTCCTGGAGCAGCCGAGCATCCCGGACTAGAAAGCAGTGGATTTCTTGCTTCTGCCACAAATTCCCCCAGCTGTGAGCCTTCCAACCTTCTAAGTATTCCTTTGTATGTGGTTCAGAGTTCTGGGACCATCCCCTGAGCCTGCTTGGTCAGGTATTCTGTGTTGTTGTTGGCGGAGCTCTCTGCTATATGTCTACCGGATCCGCCATCTTGTTTGTTCTCTTTTATTTTTTTTAAAAACTTCTTATTGTGAATTGGGTTAAGGTTTATAGACAAGATCATCAGTTTTACATTCAACAAATCGTACACTTTGTACATCTCAATGATTGCAATCCCTTCATACAACAACAGTTATCACACTTCCTCCCTGAGGTTCGTATCTGCATTGTACCCAGAATTCTGCATTCAACGAAACTATGATGATTTAATTAGGAGTCCAGAACAAAAACACATTCAGATATTCAAGGTCTTAACAAAAAAAGACCAGGTTTACTGATCAGCCACGTTCTTGAGTTCTTCCAGATTCTTTATGATCAGTAAACCTGGTCTTTTTTAAAAAAAAATAATTTTGAGTAATTCTGTGGCATTTAACATATTTCCCATATTTCCTATGACTATATTTAAAATCTTAGTTTTGAGAGAATACTTCATAGAGTCTGTAAATTGCATACCTTCCTCTTTTTAAATTTATTGACTCATTGTGTTTAAATGTATCCTTTCCTAGTTCTATGAAAATTAATGTATGGTGGTTAATATTTTAAGACCTTGAATATCTGAATGTGTTTTTGTTCTGGACTCCTAATTAAATCATCATAGTTTGGTTGAATGCTGAATTCTGAGTTGGAAATAAGTTCCCTCTGAATTTTTAAGGTATTTCTCCATTGTCTTCTAGCTTCCAGAATTGATGAGTTAGTTGATAAGCCCAAACTGTTTAGATTCTTGATCCTTGTATGAAACTTCTTCTTTTTCTATGGAAGCTTTCAGAATCTTTCCTCTCTCTTCAATGTTTGGAAAGTCTACAATAATGCCTCTTGGTGTGGGTCTGATTTGTTGTGTAGAGCAAATTTGATCTTCTTCAATGTTATCTTCTTATCTTTCTGTTGCATTTTCATTGTTACTTCTAGTTTTAATTTCCAATGGTTGTTAGTCTCAATTGTTCTTGTTAAGTGTTGTCAAGTAGGTTCCAAGTCATAAGAACCCTGTGCAGGGTTTCTGAGGAACAACTGGTGGGTTTGAATCACTGACTTTCTGTTAGCAATCCAGTGTTTATCCTACAGCACCACACCAGGACTCTAATCTCAATAGGGATTACTTTTTAAATAGCTTATTGTTACTTTATGGGTGCACTATCTTAACTCTCTGAGAATAGTAATTATGTTTGTTTTATTTTT